AGAACACCCCCCCCAGCCCTGCCCAGGCCATGCTCACTGCTGGCACCAGCTGCTGGATGAGGCGGTACAGGTGCTCGCTGAAGGCGCTGCTCCGGGGACAGCCGCTCAGGTTGACGGTGAATTTTCCCAGAGGAAGCACATCCCGTCTGCCATAGCTGCAGCAAAAGCAGCACAGGTTAGGCAAACACCTGGCTAACACTGGGTACAGGTGTGAGCAGCTGGAGCATTGTGGGGTCTCTGACAGCCAGCAGGATTTCAGAACATACACACCAACACCAGCTCCTCTGCCTTCCTCCTGCAGGAGGCTGAAGCTGCTCCTCCCAGCACCACACAGCAGCAGTGATTTACAGTGCCTGGCACCTGCAGTGCCTTCCAGACATTCTGCTCTCCCTGTACTCTGCTGTTACTCACTGAGCACACTGCATTCTTTTCCCTTGTGCTGCCCAATCTCAACTTCCCTCCTTATCACTCTTGTTCATCTCCTTTACCTGCCCTCAGCTTTCCTCTCCCTCTTCTCACTGTGTATCACATCCCCATTCTTGACAACTCTCAACCTTTTTGTGATACCAGCTAAGAGAGAAAATACATTCTATTCTAAGGGACTAAAAAGAATGAAAACAACCCATTTTGACTTTGAAGACTAAAATGACTAACATTAAATTTGGGCCTGACAAAGAATTTCTGAAGTTTCACACTTAAGATTTTAATCAGTCCAAGGATGCTGCTCTTTCACCCATAGTTTAAATCAACTAAAAATAAATTTCTATCACATGCTAAATAGATCACTTGAAGTTACCAATAAACAGGCTTACATTTAATTAAACAAATTCCCACAATGTACCTTGTAGTTCCTAAGCAATAATTCCTGCAGCCAGGAAATGCTGGCTTTGGGAAGTCAGTGGCATGTCCTACTCATTAGAAGAAGCCAGAGGCAGAAAGATGTTTTCAAACCTCTGTTTAAAGGTGTCTTGGAGATTTTGTCAGCTCTCAAAGCAGCACTGAAAGTATACACTGCCATAAAGCTGCTCTTTTATCAATATTTACTGTTATTTCAAACACTGAAATCTGCCTTTGTATGTACTGTGACAGGACAACTACCTGCACAAAGTACCACTGAAATAAGTATTATTTAAGCTATTTCTGCCATATATTTGCAAACTGGTGAAGGAGATTTCTTCTGAAAGCTCAATACATAAATTGTCAGCACACATGTAAATACTCACACTGTAGAAATGAGATGCAGTATCAGGTATTCAGCAGCCAAACTGTCTCCCAAGAGGGCATGGGTGAGGAACCCCAGCAACTCTGCTCTCACTGGTGACAGCTCAGACATGAAATTAGAAACAACTGGCAAAAGAGCAGAGGACAAATGTCAGACAATGTTCTTGTTTCTCACCCTCTTCCCTCTAAAAAAATTTGACTTTCTGTCACAGTTGGATGAAGAAAAATGTTTATTCCAAAGCAGTCTAGGAAAAAAAACCAAACACTTATTGGTTTTTTCAACTGGCTTTGGACAACCTGAATCACTCAACACTTCCTTGGAAATTATTTTTTAAAAAGATTAGATACTGTGTAATGCATTTGCAGCAGGGTACAAAGTGTAGAGCCAAATTTATAAAATCCATAGCTGCTCTGTTTTATATTAAAGGCTGAAAAAACTTCTTACACATTGCTCAGAACAAGCAATATAAGGCACTCAAAGAAGAAAGTCAAATACCAGAGGTCTGCATGCAATAATTCAGTGAAAGAAATAACAGTCAAACAAGAAATAGCACAGTAGCTTAAAAGCAGAATTGCCTTATTTTGTGCACAGTATTAGGAGTCTCTATATTAGCAGTATGTTTCTTATTTCCAATATCACACTAAACTGGAAATCTAATTTTCCAGCAATTCACAACTCTGTGTGAAAACAAATCAAATCCTATGGCTGAACAACTTGGTAAAATCCTTGGGCACGTAGAATGCAAAACCCAACGCCACATAAATCACTTTTATTTCAGCCAAATAAAATGTAAACATCACATAAACACAAACATCTGCATCCTGTGCAGCACTGCATGGTTCTTCCATTTCCCAAGATTTAAATTCAAACCCTGCTGTTGAGACATTTGCCTCTGAGCTAAGCAGAGTTTGTTCAGATGTGCTGGAAAGTGCCCAGACACTCACAGGTTTTGCTCTCCTCTTCGTTAAGGCAGGCAGGCAGCAAGGGGTTAATGTGCTGCAGCTTCTGGGCCAGAATGACGTGGATCCTGGGCACCAGGGAGGCTGGGGGGCTGTGCACCCTCTGCTCCTCCATGGTGTCCATGCACTCCATGGGATCCAGGCTGGAGCTGTCCCTGTGGAGAGGACACAGCACAGCTGGACTCAAACATCCCAGGGAATTTCTGTCCCTGTGAGCCACAACAGCTGGAAGCAGGCCAGGGACAGAGGGACAAACAACATCCACTCCCAGCTCCTGCTGACTCCTGCCACACTCAAACCACCTTCTTCAGGATCTTTATAAAGACCACAAATACTGAATTACAATTACATAATGACATATTAACACCAAAGCAGGCTTGACCCAAAATATCTGGATTCTATTATTTTCAGAAAATAATCAAGCCATAAAAACACATTTATTATTTGCAGCATACAGGCTGTGGCTTCAAGTAAAATATCACACACTGTTCTGCCCAGCCTGTACTGAAGTCTAAACAGTAGCTTTTAAAAAAATGTCATTTATTACATTTGTGTCTGTAAGCACATGTGGGATTCTGACATCCCACCAGGTTCTGCAGCCTGACAAGATCTTCTAGACAGTCCCATCACATCTCTGTCACTGGCTGAGTAAAAGAGCTGTGAATAAATAAACCCCAATGTACCTCTGCTGGAACCTGGAGGTATTACCTCTTAACTTAAGAGTTCAGATACACAAGCTTTGCTCTCCCTGAAGAGGTCTCACAAAATTTCTCCAAGGTTTTCATTTTCATTTTTAGCAAGTAAAATCCCTAAAGTGACTCTGTCAGATGACAGTAAAGCTTAGAACAAATTTCATCTTCTTGTACTGGTTTTAAAAACTGTCAGGCTTTATTACTTCAAAGCCACTTCAGTTCATCCACACACTATCCACTCTTTCCATTAAAAGAGATTTGTTTTGTTTGTATTCAAAATGTTGCTAAATGCCACCATTTTGTCTTCTTGTTACAGAATGACACAGGGAAAAAGCCACAAGCACCTGTGAGAGAGCAACTGAGCTGTCAGTGTGGGATCAGCTGTCACACAGATGATAACAAAAAGCAGCTGAGCAGGCTGAGGGAATTTTTAAGAAGTTGGCACTATACAGGATTCACATTGCACTCTGGGTGTCCTACTTGCCAGAGATGAACAAACTCACCAACAGAAATGATTCAGAGTGCAATGGTTACGACATCAGCAGTATTTGTGTTAGATTTTGGTCAAGAGTTTTATTTTCAAACTTGACTTCATGCATCCTAAATGATTTTGTATTTTGTCAGGCAAGGAACTGCAGAACAGCAGGTGAAATGGGCAGTTCCTATCAGTGGATTAAGAAGATGAGATACCTTAATTAATGAAAAATCAACCTATTTTTTACTCATTTTGGTCATTATCACTCTGCATGCAGACAAGCAAACTTTGTTTTTTATATTCTTCAGAAACGTTTACATTTCTGGTAACAACTTCCAGGGACTTAAAACTACATCAAAAGCACATTTATAATTTTAAAACTTCCTTGAAAGCTTTGTTCACTATTCACTCATTCACTGAAAGTTCAGTACACATGAAAGAGTACAAACATTTAGCTCTAGAGCATTTTCTGCTTTGCAGACTGTACAGCAGCCTAAAAAAAGATGCACTGGGTATCCAAGGATATGGATGTACCAGAGCACATGGGACTTCAGTTTCCAGGATGCTGGATATAACACTTTCCTCATCAAGCTATTTTAAAGCAACAAAATTCACTTCTCAAGCATAATTATCATGTACTTACACATTTCCCTGTCTGCTCACTGCAATAAAACTGCATTTCAGGGCAGTCTTACCTCTCTTCACTGTTCACTATGCTCAGCACTGGGTCCACAGACAGAACACCAAACACCTCCAGCACATCATTGACTTTGAAGCTCTCCCAGCTCTCATAGATCTGCCCCAAAGAGAAAAGAAAAAACAAAATGCTGAGGCAGATGGGCCAGATGCAGGCCAGCAGGAAAATTGTCAGATAAATGAAACTCAGGCGAGTCAGCTGTGGCCTGAGAACAGTCTGAGTGGAGTTCTCCCCTCGCCCTCAGTGTCACTAAGCTTACACTGGAAAAGGGATTTGTCAGGGGGCTCACAGTTGTTTTATGATTCCATGCTTTTTCTATTGGCATTCTTTGCCACATGAGTGTAAACAACTGTATTCTACTCTGATTCATCAAGATTTGTTGAATAACAGAGAAGTCAATACAGCAACAGCAGAGAAATTTTGTGTAAAGCTTCACAGTAATACAACAAAGCAGTGAATCAAGGACTATTTCAAATTCAATACACAAATGTGCAGTTTATTGGATTTTCAGCTTGGTTTTTCACAGCTGTTTTTTAATTAGAGGAAATACCCTAAAAGAAAAACACCAGGGCTAAATACCAGTTGCACCCTCAAGCAGCTAATACTGGAATCTTTTTTTAACTAAATGGGGTGAGAAGGTGCAAGCTCTAATAAATGCTGCTGAAGGATTCCAGCAATTCAAACGCAGCACTCAAGAAGAGAAACACTGTGTTAGTGAAGAGAAAGAATGTAATTATCTCTGGAAACAAAATTCTGGACTTGAGACACATTTCTGTGCCTACAAACCAAGGCAAGGCTGATTCTGAGAGCACAGCCCTGCTCATCATCTCTCACCTTTACAAGACATGCTGGTCCCTTCTCTCCTGGCAAGGGAAAATTTAGGTCAAGTGGAGGGGAGCAGTTGGGAGAAATGACATGATGGCCTGCAGAAGCTTCTGTTTCTAATCTCTTTGCCTCCACACATCCATGGATATCACCTCCACTGCCTGAAAAGCAGGATTTGCAGGCTTTTTAAAAAGAAATGCAGAACTGAGCAACACAGAATAAAACTCATTTAACAAGACATCTGAGACAAGAATATTTAATAATGCAATATACCTGACAGAACATACTCTTAGTATGAGAAGTCTCACAAGTGCATATTGTGTGTAATCAAGTGAAGTGTGAGAGAGAGTTCTGGCAAAGATCTGTGGGTCTTGGAAATCCAAACATGGCCAGAAATCTGATTTTCAAAATGCAGTGTTTAAATCAGAGGAATGATTTTTTTTCTTATAGTCCATAGCACTGCAAAAATAGTATTTTTCTGATGTTTAAAAAAAAAGGTTAGAATATGCATAAAACCCAGTTTACATTAAAAATTTCTGTAGATTGTCAGCAAGTCATACAACACACATATAACACTACAGGCTCTCCCACACTCCTTCAAATCAAACCACTGACAACAAAGCCTCCAAATCCCAAAGGCTGCAACAACAACAATAATAATGAAACCAATTGCCAATATTTCACTTTTTAGCAATGAATTTTTGCCAAATCCTGGGAAGACAGCAGAACAACCATTGAGCAGCTCTTACCCATGTGCTGCTCCTTCTGTTTGGAGGGATGCAGGTCCATGTCCTCGTCCTCCTCATAGCTCCTCTTGTGGCGGCTGGGGGTGTAGGAGGTGGAGGGGCTCACCCGGGCCTGGCTGGCACTGATGTAGGCCTGGGCCAAGGGTTAAGGAAGAGCAGGGAAAACTCACCCCCACTAAGGTAAATTGTTGTTTTTTTTAAACAAAATCCTCACCTTAACATGCTCAGCTACAGGTGTTTTATAAGAGACTCTCACTGTGTAAGGGTTCTGCTGTAGAAAATGCCAGTGGTTCAAGTGAAGTTTCTTTGCAACTAGAAATTAACAGTAAAAATGTCTACTAAATCAAAACAAATGCTCCTAAACTCATTTGCATCCTCCTCATCCTCCTTTTTGTGCATATTACACGCCATCACCTTTTTTTCTCTTTCTACGCCTATCACTTCTCCAGATTCACTTAAAAAAAAGAAATCTTAAATGAACTTATTCCTTAAACCTAATTAATTAGTTGGTGACCACTGATTGTCTAACAAAACACTGGCTCAGTCCAAAAAGATATTTCCTTCACCCATGCAGATTCACCAGGCACTGGAACACAGTAGAAAGTCTGTCTCTCCGAGGTGACTGTTTGTGAGGAGTTCAAATCAATTTCCTGCTGAGGCTGCAATCCCAAGAGAAATTTTGTCAAAAACCTGATTACAGTTTGTTTTCTTTTTTTAAGCTAACCCCACAGATTCACTCAGCTAGAAGTTACAATTAGCATGCAAGACTACATAACTCAGGAAAAAGTGAATATATAATGTTTTGATTCAAATTGCACTGCACTACCAAAAGTAACTATTTTGCATAGCAGACAGATTCAAGGTCATGGGCACTCCCCCCTCCACTCAACCAAAACAAATATTAAATACAACAGAAACAGCTGGAAGCCTGCAGAAATTAGAATGCCAGTGAGCAGTTATGAATACTCTGCTTTCCAAACCAAAGACTGACTTTGCATTTAGAGCAGTATCTTCAGGAATCCATTGCCAAGTACCAAAGAAACTCTGTCACACATAAAAGTACAATTTTGCATCCAATATTTCTTCTCTAAGTTCATATAGTTTATAGAACTTACCCCACATTCTGCCACATCTCTGTATTTACCAAAATGCAAAACCTGTCAAGAGGGAAAAGGCAATGCACTCATTCTGTTTCTGACAGCATCCTGAACATGAATCACACCAAAATCACTGAAGCCCAAAGCCCCTCACAGACATCCTGCCAAACATTTCATCATTTTCTACTCCTCAACAGAAATGTAACAGGTTATGTTTCACTGATGCCACTTGAGCTGAACACAGTTACTATCAGTGTCCACACTCCACAGGTTTAATTCACAAACCAGAGAAATTCAAGGATCAGAATGAGTAAAATGACAAAACAGTAACTCAGTATTTCACTTACCCGTGCATTTGTGTTTGGGTCAACTGTTTCATAGACTCCCATGTAAAACTCAGGATCAAACATATCTTGAACCATGCAGCGAAATTTCACTAAGCTGTTGGGTTTCAGGTAATGTACAGGAACATCATTCAGTGATGGGACCTGTGAAAAAAGAGATTGTTCTATACTACTGGTATATATTGAGCAGTGCTCTGAAGTGAGCCAAAACCAGCACAAAAATTTAATTTTCTGACCATCCAGTATATCCTCCTTATCAAACCCCTACATTTATCCCAATTTAAGCAGTAACAAAGTGTATCTATCCCAACACCTTCCTGCAATGCCTGTTACAGATAATTGTTACAATTCTTAACAGTTCCCAAATTCTTCCAGTCCCAAACTGGACAAAGAAGGAAGTGGTTATAGGTCACTGGAACTGTATGAGAACTGTACAACATTTGAAATCAACTTTTAAATTAGAATTATTGCAGCTGCAGGATTAAACAGAATTTATTACTTATCTTATTTCTACTTAACAGCACTTCCACCATGTGCTATGTACCAGCAGTACTAGAGCAATTTGAATGCACAATTTCTTATAACAAAGGGTCCTGGAAAACCTGTATGTTAATTTCCAAGTCCATATTGGGGAATTCTTTTTCACCCAGTTTTACATGACAATGGGAAAATAGAAAGAAAAAAAATCAATGCCTAAACACATGGTATAACTTCAAAGAACTTGCAATATGAATAGGGTTTTCTAAATCTGAATATACAATATTTGTTGAAAAAGCCCACATCCAACATTAAAATGCAACAAAAACTGTAAGTGGCACTATAGGAAGTGGCATTTTAACAAAACTGTAGCCCCTCATTTTTTTGAGCAAGAAAATATGAATTAAATTCCTTCTGATGTTGTAAATTTTACTCAAATTTTGCCATTAATGCTTTGATTTAGGCAACCATTTAATACTAAACACAGAATACTTTCACAGACAGAGAAAGAAAAATTATTTTCACCTGGTTTTAGAGACAGGTAGAACAGATTTGATCTCAAATTTTCTCATCCCCTTATCAGTCCCATTATGTCATTTCGGCTACAGCCTTTTAGAAAAGTATCAGCTTTTGAACTCAACTGTGCACACTTTATTTTTAAAACCTAAAGCACAGTTTCCTTGCTAAACTGCACAAACCAGGCCTGACCCAGCCCAATAAAGCATAGTTTTAGCAGGAAAAGTGGGTTTTTTTCCTTAAAACCTGAAGGTCCAGGCAACTATTTATTCAACCCACACAAGTTTTGCATTGTGATAACAGCTCACGAGGGAAAGGGTTTATGACCAGCAGCCTGTGGTGCACAGTGAGGACTCACGCTTCCCCAAAAATGACAATATTTGTCATCTCCTGCCATCTACTGACGGTGCTACAGAGTGGCAGCGATGGCCTGGGGGAAGGAGGGTGCTGAAGGCAGGGGATGGACGGGCTGGGATTTCACATCCCGGCTCTGCACTCAGGTTAAGGCAGGCGAGGTGCAAATTCCACATCCCAAAGCCTGGACGTGAAATTCAGCTGCATGCTTATCGTGAAATTGCAGGACTTTATCAAAAGCAAGCCACTGCAATAAAGTGTAAAAAATAACAGAGCTTAAGAAAAAGCATAACTCGAAAAGAAAAAAAACACTCTTACCCAGTTAGTAGCATTATTTTCTTTTAATTTCTCCTTGAAGTATTCGGTTACCTTCTTCTCCCAGTCAGAGTTTGGAGCATTTTGGGCTACAAAAAACAACATATCAACGTGCCCGTTATCACCACGTCAGAGACTTTTACCCAGCATTCTCCCAGCACACCAAACAAACCCAACTTTCACTTCTATCTTAGGGAAGTGAGTGCATCTCGCACTAATTTATTCCCCTTGCAATTCACTGAGTTCCCATTTCAAACCACTCAGGAAACACAGAGCCATTGCTGGGAGCGAGGGAAACAACACTGCAGTGGGGACAGGCAGGAACCGAGGTAGCGCAAAATTTAATGTCGGTATTTTTTAGTGAAGATTAAACCCAGATTTAATTTTTAGTGTCTGAAATAACTGTAAATAATATTAAAAAAAGATTAAGCCGCGGCTGATAGCGCTGGTAGCACCAGCACTGCTCGGCAGCGCGGGCAGCCAGCACGCGTTGCTGCCGGAACCCAGAGACACACGAGATACACAAAACACACGCTGTATTCGAGACATATAAGATATAAAACAGATACATAAGACACAACAGACACATAAGACA